CTTGAATCTTCATGCCACATCATCAATATATCAACAATCTATTTTAATTTTTTTTGCATGTGACATTGCCTTGTTTCAAACTCAGCATCCCCTTTGTTTCTTCCACACCTTTAGCCAGTTAAGTTGTAATGACTTTTTATTCTTATATGCAAATTTTAACACATATTACTTAATTGAACACATATATTTAACTTAGTATAATTTTTAATATATTTAAGATGTTACTATTTAAAATTGTTGGTAATATATATTGTTATATATATATATACACAAACACGCATACCAACATTTATAAGAATATATTGTTACATATATTTGGGTGTGTGTGTTATTAGTTCATAAATATATTATTTGATATCAATTAATATATTTTATTAAAAAATATAGTAGTTTATATCATTTTATATTATCTATGTTATAATTAAAATGTTTTGATATGAAAAAAATTTGTTTTGATATTTAAATTTACATAACAAAATAAAAAATATTTTTTATTTTCTATATATCATTTTATTCATATATTTTACTTATTTATGTAATTATTTGACTTAAAAATTATAAGATTTTTTCATGTGATTCTCTCTATATATATTATAATTTTTTTAAATTTTTATATAATTTTTAAGCACATTTTACTTATTTTTTAATTAAAAATAGCCACCATTAATATAAATATTTTGTGATGGATTTAAATCGGTCATTAAATTTATAAAATTTGATCAAAATGTAACAACCTACATCCATCAATGATTCACCGCTGATTTGTGTAATTAGTGACGGATTCTAGTTTGCCACAAAACTTTATCACCGACGCCTATAATTAGTGACGGATCTCTAATTTGTTACTAAATATTTGTCACTAATTTTAATTTTTTAATGATGTATTATCCATGAATAATGAAACAATATCATTCAACTACAAAAAAAAAAATGAGAACATCATCATGTGTGTTAAAAGTAAAGTTACAATTTTACCCTTTCTTAAATTGTGTTAAAAATAATAAAAATACTTTTTTATGTCATGTGCCATATGTATTGCATCAATATAACATGGCAATAACTATATTAATAAAATAGCAGTTAATTAATGATAGGGGTTTTGAAAAATCAAAACTAAAAGGTAGGAGGATAATTTTAAACATTAAAAAGTGAGGAAGGTTCATATACAATTATCTCAAAATTCAAGAGGTTTTATATATTTTAACCAAATTTTATAAAAAATAAAATACAAGTATTAGTTCGGGCCGTTGCAAATTCAGGAATCTCAACTGAAGATAAAATGTTTAAGTTTGGAATAACATTTTCAGCTAACAATTAAGGCAACTGTTCACAATCTGAATTTATATTTGTAATTTATTTTTCAAATTTTTTTAAGACCTAACAATCATGGAATGTCAAATACCATCCCCGGCTCCTCAGCTCCTCAGCATGTACACATAACCTGGGCACAAATGATACTTCGGTCGACGCTACACAGCCACATCAAAGCCATATTGGACTCTTCTTCCCAGATATTATATTTTATTTCCCCAGTAACTCGAAGTTATCAACGGGAGATGCATTTAAAATTTAATTAGCCAAGGATGGGTCTCTGAGCAAATCTGGCATGTGACTCAGCAGTGAGATTAGTTGAAAATCAAGATTAGTGGAAACTAATAAGGCGTTGCGTCTGTGCATGCGTTCGCTTTTCGTGTGAACGTGTTTACGTGCGTGCTGAACAGCTTTTGTTTTCCCCACCCGCGTGTGTCACTAACGTTGAGTGAGATAATATTAGCCATAAAAATAATGGATTTGGATCCCACGCAGCGCATTTGGTGCAGTGGATGGAAAGTGGAGCGGTTATGACTGCTCATTCGATCCAGTGGCAGGGAAAAGAGGAATGCGCCGAAAGCCCTATCATCTCCACAACAAAAGGGTGTTTTTTTAAAAAAAATAATTATTTAATTTTTATAATTTTGATGTAGTTACAGTTCAGTATCTAAACTCTAACTCATTATAACTTAATTTTTTAAATTTTAACTCAATTGTAAATCATTCATTAAACTTTACCTCTTACAATTTAATATTTGAAATTTTAACATCTTAAATATTAGTTTTTATATTTTAAAAAATAAAATTATAAAGATTCAAAATATTTTAAATTTATTACTAATATTTTAAAATATTAAACACTTTTAATCTTTATAAATATTATAAATATTAAAAATATAAAATATTTTTAATTTTTATAATTTTATCTTTAAATATAAAGATTAATATTTAACAAGTTGAAACTTCATGAACTAAATTGCAAGAGGCAAAGTTCATAAATTGAGTTATAATGAGTCAAAACTCAAGAATTGAGTTACAACTGAATCAAATCTATAAGGGCTAAATGACTATTTTTTTTTTCCTTTTTTGAAAACTTACTCCACAATCTAAATCCTTAAAAACTATGAACAAATTTAATAATTTATTTTTGTTTATTCTGCAAAAATCCTACCCATTCTATTTAATGATTTTTTACTGTTTATTTTAACAATAAAAAACGTGCTTCACAACATAAATCCTAAAAAATAATGAATAATTTGAACAATTTATTTTAAATATTTTGAAAAAATAAACTTCTCTATTTGATGAAAAATTATTTATTTTATTTTGTATTTTTAACAATAAAAAAATATTTTACAATTTAAATTCTAAAATAAAAAAGTTCATGCACTTAACAGATGGTGAGGCTTTTCATGCACCTTTTTTTTTTCCAACCCTTGGATAGAATAAACGGTTAGGATCATTCCACTTCTTCCAAACAATGCTCCTATTCAGAAATTATCGAAATCAAAATTCCAGCGAGAAGGGAATGATATTTATAGGCGAGTTCGGTTGGTTATAGCTATCTGTACTTTAATTATCTCTACAGTTTAAACGATGAAAAATCAATGCTCTGTGTTAAGATCAATTTTGACAGGTCTCATTAATTTGGTTTCTGTTCAAGTCCAAGTACCTTCACTGGCGGAATAAACTGGAAATCTTTTAACTGGAAAAGAAAATGAAAAATCAGATTCGACTATAGTGAATAAAAAAAAAAATTATGTTGAAAGAACTTTTCATATATTGAAAGTCGTCCGAACAATTCTAAATCACTCAGATAGGGCAAATATTGTGAAAGGAATCATTAAAGTTAGATTTAGTATATATATCATGCTGACAATAGTAGGGTGCAACTTGCAATGTTTCTCGTTGGCCAACAAAAAAAAATTGCAATGGTTCTCAAGTTGTTTTACATGCGTACGAGTTAACTGTGTGTATCATTTATCACCTTACTTTTTCTATGAAATTATATTTCTATGACTTTACTCATAGTGATAAAATATTAAATTCACAAGGGCAGAAGGGAGAGGGGGGAAAAAAAGTCATTGAACCAACGTTACCTTCTGCGTTGGGTCTGGCAATGGCCAATTAGCCATACCTAAAGTCAGAAAAACGGATTAAACCTACGGGTTAATCCGTTTAACTTGCACAATTTAATAAATTAGGTTAAAAAAATTAACCCGTTTTTTAAAACGAGTTGGGTTAGTCCAACCCATAAAAATAGCGGGCTAAATAGGCTGGCCCATTTTTTTATTTTAAATTACATTATATCTTTTGATAAATTTACAATAATAATAATATCTTTTAAATATATAATTTATAACTTTCAAATGTGTTCTTTACATTTAAAATATAGTGTAAATCCTTTTTATAATTTGCAAATAAAATTTTTATTATAGTTTATGAAGATGATTTATTAGTTTTTATATAAATGTTTTGAATATATATTATTTATTAATCTCATAAGATCTATTAATTAAAATTATAAATATGAATTCACTAAGAAAAATAATATGAGTTTATATTCAAATTTTCTTTCTTAGTGACAAAGATAGCACATCTAAGTGAGAAGATGATTAATAGTAAAAATCTAGTAAAATGAATTTGCTTGGTTGAATTCTATATTTATTTTATTTAATTATTAGTTTTTTAATTACTAATTTACTTTAAAATATGAAATAAATAAATATATTTATATTGTATAAATTTTAAATTATTAAAAAATTAATAATTTTTTGCGGGCTAGCCCGAGGGTTGACTAGCCCACTAGAAAATAGATTGGGTTAGATTTTTTAACTTATTTTATCTAACGGGCTGGCCCAACCCAACCCGCAAAACTGCTAACCCGCCAAACTCTTGTTTCGAGCCTTTTTTTATTTAAAAAAAAAAGATCAGAACAGTAATACTAGATTATTAATATACTATCTCTGTCTAAAAATATAAAATATTTATTAAAAAAATTAGATATAAAAAATTATAAGATATTTTTAATCTTTTAAGATATAATCATTATTTTTAAAAAGTATCTCTATTGATAAATGACTTTATATTTATTATGAGGTGTTTAATAGGGATAAATATAAAAAAATAAAATTATTTTAAAAATAAATAATTATTTTATTGGGAGGTGAAAAAATGAAGGAGTAACTAATATCACGTACAAACAAAATTTAGATTATAATTGTAATTACTATTTATTAAATATTTGTGGAAAAAATTAAAGCGGATCGTTTTTAGATTATAAATTTATTTAAGAAAATTAAATACTTTCCTGCAAAACGAAAAGTGGACCATCACCGTTGGATATTTTGTTTGGTAGAGTATGGCCGTTGGATTCTTACCTAAACAAGCAAGTCAAAGAAGTCACCTAAGGACGGTAAGGAGAGAGATGGTGAGGACACGCAGGGCCCCTTATTCACGTGGACGATGGCCCACTTGGCCACGTCATCATAAAAAACTCATGGAATCTCCTCTAATCGCCTCTCCACCAATCGCTGTTGGGCTCCCACGTGGGGCTTTGGACCCCATAGCCGCTTGGCGTCACATGTTCATGGGCGTCCATCGTCTATGTTCTTTTTACTGTTTAGGTTTTGATGTTCGTTATTTTACTGATATACAGTGTACCTCAATTAATTCCCCTCATTTTGCAGCTCTTTCCATATAAATCCAACGCCTCCATCATCTTTCTTCGTCTGGCTTCTTCTTCCCTTTTTCTTCTCGCATCATCTCTCTCTTTTCCTGATATTCCGCCGATCCAGCTCATCAAGAATCTAGCTACTAATTAGCTTCTTCGCCGATCTCTGATATTCATTTCAGCTGGCTTCTGGGATCTCTGCTATTCTTATATAAGCCTCCCACCCCCTCGCTCAGAAACAGAGCAACCAAACTGATCGACTTGGACGACATGGAAAACTGCTCATCCCCTGCTTCTTATATCCGATTGGTTAGTTCCATACGAGGTTTCTGATCTTGTAAATAAAATTTCAGCTTTATTACATTAATTAATCATCAGCTCCTTCTTTTGGTGTTTTTTGTTTGGCCGAAACTCCTTCAGATGTTAAGTTTTATGAATATCAGCAAAAGAGTTGAACTGATCAAGCACGCGTGTGTTTTGTAGGTGCACCGTCTAATTGAGGAATGCATCCTATTCAACATGAGCAAGGAAGAGTGCATGGAAGCTCTTTCCAAGCACGCAAATATCAAACCGGTCATCACTTCCACCGGTCAGTACTCATTACTCGCACCCTTTCTCTTTATTTCTATATAACATGATTATAAATAATCAATCACGCCCGCGCACAGCTCGGAGCTAATGAAGTTCAAAGACTGACTCAAGATAATTAGTAAGTATGTATGTATATGGAAGTGATTTGTGTGTGTGTGTATACAGGGTGGAAGTTATATCATTGAGATTATTTTTTTAGTTATTTTTGTTTGGTTGAAAGTATAAAAAATAGAATCTGGTAGAGTGATAAATTATGAAAGAAGTAAAATAAATGACCACGTGCATGCATGAGGTGTGGGAAGCAGTGTGGAAGGAATTGGAGAAAGAGAACAAGGAGTTCTTCGAGGCCTACTCGAGAAACAGAGCAGAGAGGGCTTCAGAGACAGAGACAAGGAGAAGGATACACGACGTGGTTTCGGAATCTTCCTCCTCCTCCTCCTCCCGCGGAGTTTAGGTTTCTGACGCAAACAACCTTAGTCTTTCAAACGAAAAATAATTCAAGCCCGACACCCACCGCCTGATTTACTAGCAGGGATATTTCCGTAATAACGCCCCTGCGAACTGGTCACCAGCCCTTTTCTTCAGAAAACCGAAAAAGAAATGACGGAACGTCGTCGTAGTGGTCCAGCTCATGGGAAGAAGTTGATGCGAGAACTCTACAGCGACGGGGAGAATGACATGGCGCACACGTGTGTAAATGTGAAGGGTGATTAATTTTCCCATGTTAGACGCGTGCAATGGCCAGCCCTGTCTGTATGTGTGTGTGTGTGTGTGTGTGTTTTGTAGGTCGTATCGCATTGTGATGGGTGTGTCGTTTGGTAGAGTTTGTTATTGAATTGTATTGTTATGTAAGGGACAGAGTTGCCACAGTTGATACGTCATCGTTCACCTTATGTGCCTGTTTTGTAATGGATTTTTGCAAATTAATGATGATGCTGGCATGCTCTGTCGACCCTACCTACTTTGATAGTTGGAGCTCTCCCCTTCCCTCCCTGTCTCTGGTTCCCGGCCCGAATGCTCATTGTTCCTTGAATCCTTGTATGTTTTTCTCACTTTTTTACAATTCCTTTAGACGCTGCTTTTTTTTTTTTTTAATATAGTATTACTCATCTCATTTTTTCAATCAAGATAGTTTACGCTCGGTTTACGTCACGTTGATCATGATTTAAAAGTTGCGTATTCTCTGAAAAATGTTCCATTATCGGCCTGGTCATCCCTTCTTTTAATGGCTTTTCACAGATCAACGTTTGTAAGTAATAACTTAATCAACGTTTAGTTCCTTATTCGATGGTTGTCACTTGTCTCGCTTCACTTTGTCTTACAGAGTTCATTAAGACTGGCCTTGTGAGCGGGCTCAGACTGAGCTCCGATGGATGATGGATGTTCTCTTTTTGTCCTCTGCAAACAAAGTGAAGCTGGATTCTCAGCACACACGTAACTCATGAAGAGCCCGCGTCATATGTCTCACCCAATAAGGGTGAGCACAGGCCCACCTTATTTAATATGTAATAATCAAAATATCAATTATTTTGCTAAGTATGCCCTCATGTCCTTATTATAACATGTTGGCATTTGCATAAATACTACCTTTGATCATAATACAAGTCATCTTTTAGAAATCTTGACTGGTTCAACATATATGATATTAAATAACTTTTATATTTATTTTTTCAATTATACCCATACTTCATTTTTTTTATTTTATGCATTAAAATTTTAATCATTATTATTAAAGCTGTTATATAAGTTATTTAATAAAGGTATTGTTCATGGGTGAACAATAAATACCAGACGTGCCAGAAATGATGGGTCTCAATAGATAACAAAAGGGATCCCAAGTTTTCTTAATACAGTTCTCTTGGATGTAAAAAGATAGTAGGTTTTGGTAAAATAAGTGTATAATTTTATTAAAGTGTTTGAAAATTATAGACTAAAAAATAAGAACTGAAAAGGGTTAGTAAATGTAAATTATGCGAGTCTTGATCAAGTGTTGACTGTCTTTCTCCATTTTTTTTCCTTCTATTTATAGTGTTTGATAGCAACAGCTTTTTTTGTTTAGACTTAGCATGTTCTACCGAATAATCAGGAATCCAATGAAACTTATGGCATAGTCTCTCCATTTTGGTAAACAACCCGTTTCTCCTAACTATTTGGACGTAGATTTCGACATTACTTAAGATCGTGTCTTCGTGCCAACAATCTGATATTTGAAACTGATGGGATTTCGGCATATTTATTTGTGGTAGACTTTATTGAGTTTCGGGGCCGGTCTTTTTTGTTTATATTAGGCTTGACGTTTCGATTACTCAGCCCAACTAACTTTTTGATCTATTTGAGCGAAGTTTCATATTTAATATAAACAGGTATAAATAAAAATATTTAACATTTTTAAAAATTTAAGGATTTAATTGATATTGTTTATAAATCATAAATTAGTTAACTATATTTTATATTGTTGTCCAGAGAGATTGTAGACTAAGAAAAGTTGTTACATGTATTATTTGTCCAAAAATATCTAAGTATTTCAATTATAATACCCCAGTTCATCATCGCTTTTTTGTGGAAGAGATCATAAACCTTGACTCGAGGAATAACACCACTGCTAAAATTATAGGGGTACACAAGGAAAAAACATTGATATTTTGACCCAATACCTGATAAGCCGGATCAAATTTTTTTTTTGAAAGACACTTTATATAAGGGGTATGATAAAAGCTTATAATCAATTATCCCCTTAATCTATTATATTGTGTATATATATGTCGTTTTTTAAAATTTTTATTTCTTCTATTTTTATCTATGAACAAATTTTCGACTTCCTCGCACATTATTGTATAGGGGTTACTCTAGTTTTGCATATATTCAAGACCATGAAGTGCAAACATTATTTATTTAACATGAAATACAATTATTAACGTCGTATCCACGTCAGAGGAACAGATTCATATCCAATTCCGTGTTAACACTGGCGAGTCTGGGAGAGGGACTCTCCTTTTCTTTATCTTAAAGAAAAGAAGAGTCCCTCTCACCCGCGAGTCTCAAGTGTGGCCTGAATCAGCATGCAAGATTTAGTCACAAGTTACAATTATATAGAGCGCGTGAGTAATAATTTTTCTTCTTGGTAGTTTATATCGTAGGTATTTAGTTGTCCCCAAGGGAAAAGGGAACCTGGTGGCAATTGGCATGCTTTGTAGGCGCAGGATACGATGTGGTGTGGCGTCGTGGTTGCGTGAAAAGTTGGCTCACGGTGAAATTGATGAAATCGGGAGATATGAGGGAGTCAACGCGGATGGTTGGTCTAATTTCACGCCAATTAAACTAAATTCAAGATGGAGAGGGCGAGGCGTGAGTGGGCCATTTTTTGGGACTGAGCTATGAGCAGGATGAAACTCAGGCCACCTATATTTTAATTTGGATGATTTATATATTTAAAGAATTGTTTTATTTTACATTTATTAAAATAAAAATTTATAAAAACTATAATATATTTTAAATTTTTTATTTTCAATTTGGTCTATATTTAGTATGAAGGATTTAATTTAATATTAAAATTTTTATAATTAATATATATTGATTATTCAGACATATTCTGCACAGTCCAGATTAAATTTTAATATTAAATCTGATTTGGATTGTGCAAAGTACATTTAGATAATTAATCTATAAAAATTATAAAATTTTAATATTAAATTAAATCCTCCAAGTTAAATGTAGACCAAATTGAAAAAAATTATTAAAATTATTTTATAATTTTTATAAATTTTTATTTAATAAATATAAAAATATATATAATAATTTTTTAAATTTAGATCATTCAAATCAAAATAAGGATGGTTTATATAAGATTACAATGATGAGTAGAGAAGGCCAACTCTATTTTTTTTCACACTAAAACTGAACAGATTCAAAAAATGAGTTTTTTGTGCTATGGCATGGAAAAGAATGAGATGCTTGGGGACATATAATAAAATTGGATATTTCTTCTTTTCTCAAATTTTTGTGCACATTCACTGATCAATCAGTGCGTAGGCTTTTTACTTTTATTTTTTTTTTGTACAGGAATCCTCTTTTGTGCAATATTTCGTTGTTACAAGAAATTATGTTTCAAGTATTGTCAAGTATTAAATATAAACACTGATCCTAATGAAAATTTAAATTTGAGTTTGTCATCTTATGGGGGATTAAAGATTAAATTCTTCTATTAAACTCAACCTCGTGTGGCACTTGGATTGCCTTGAAGTCTTGAACCCGTGAATTAAAATTCAAACACACATCCTCATTAGGTGCCATAGGAAAAATCCTAGCCCACTTGTTAAGGAACCATGAGTCTCAATAGATCCATATAATGGCTCACTATGGTTGATTGGATTGCTGAACTAACTTTTCCATTTGATGTTAATATATGTCTAATTGTTTGACCAAAAAGGGAGTGTCACAAGGTGTGTCAAAAGCATGGGGTTTTAAAAGGATGGGAAAACCTAATTTTTAATCAAACATGAGAAACTCAGGCTCCTTACCACAGTTCACTTGAATGCGAGAATGTGAAATGACAAAAATTAATGTAGATGCAGGAAAGTAGAGATAGATTAATTAAAGAAAGAAGTGGTGGGCTATGCTAACTATATAATAGAAAAGTAAAGATTAAAACTACATGATAAAAGGGAGAAAACAAAGTTGCAAACATGGGGTCGGGAAATTTGACTGGCAGTTTGTTAATAATGATGACCCCTTAATGAGAGAGGGCTTCTTTACTTATAAATGATCCTGACTTGGTGCCTAAGCCCTATGATCGCCACTTTTTTTGAATTTAAGAAGTACTTCCTCTATTGTGGTCACTTTTACCACTTCACAACTTAGGTGCAAAAAATGCCGTCCACATACAAATTGGTCGAAGCCTTTGTATTCCAATTTTATATGGATATTTCCATTAGCTCCACTTTCAAGAGTTGCTTGAGTAGTATGTCTTAAAGGATCATCTTGTTTCCGTTTTGATTGATGGTTGAACTAGTACTTCCTTTGGAGGACACTCTTGTGGTTAAAGATTAGGGGCTACTCTTAAGGATTTGGATTTCAAGAACTGGTTTTAAAATTAACCCTTCAAGTTTTAGGACCTTAAGGTTTGGTTTTACAAAATCTAGTTACTATAGGGATGGAGAGAACTCTTGTGGAGTTAGTCCTTGTAGGATTGGTGGCTTAAGATTCGATCTTTACGAACGTGACCCTTGTGGGATTAACAAGTTAGGATATGGTCGTTCATAATACAACTCTTTTATATCAAAGCCATTTAAGTTTGATATACCAAAGGTCGTAGATAATGATGGCTCAAGTATTGGGGCCATAAAAATGACCTCCTAAGACTTAACAAACATGGCAGGCCATACCTTATGGCTCTAGAAATTAACAGTTTAGGTACTAGAGCTCTAGAAACTGTTAGCCAAAGATCTTGCTCCTTGAGTTTTTTGCAGACTTTTGAGTTTCTTCCCATGACTTAGGTAAAGGTATCCACTTTTCCTCTACCTAGAAAGTGGCCTAAAGAGATACCGTAGGGATGGAGTCCTTTTGGTGAGCTTGTACAAACTACCCCGAAGCTTTTTAATGGTGACTTGACTCATAGGCCCGACTCAAGCCTTGAGATATCTTTGTATTTCTTAGAGAGACTTATTGAGAGCATTTGTTGAGTGGTGCCACTTCTGAAGAGTTTCATGAAAGGTGTCTTAGTGATGCTATTGTTCTTCCTCACAACATCATATCCTTTGTCCTCCCTTGTGGTTGAACAGGCCTACTATCAAGTTAGACCTACCATTTCTCCTTTAAGGGATATTATAGCAGTCCTTATTGTTGATCTTCTAGTCGAAGGGCACGTTAGGAGACTGCCCTCAAGTCTATCTATTCTCTAAACGTGTGAGGAAATTAAAGCTTACTCCTACGATGGTTTAGACAGCATAGTGGAAATGTTCTTTAGCCCGTCCTTTAGAGTTTGCAACAGAGCTCTTTACCTCTTGTTAGCCTGGCATTCCAACTTCTCCTAGACTTTGGCTTGCTCCTGCTACTTTTTTAGATGTTATCCCTCAAGTTCCTCTACCAATGCTTGTGAGATCACTACTTGTTTATTGATATGGTCCTGTATTATGGTCAAAGACAAAGTTACAACATCATTAAAGACAATAATAGGAGGTTCACCTGAGTAAGAGGATTTGAGATTTTCATCCTAAGCTAGTGGATAAGGAATTCCTTAAGGAGGTCTTGCTTGTTGCCCCATGATCACTAGAGTGTGAGAGGCCCATACTCCTAGTTCCGTGTGAGCAGCCACATTCTCTGAGTCGTAAGAGTCAAGTCTATTTTTTCTAACAACATATTGATCCTTACGTGTCTTAAGCGTTTCATTTACACAGGTCCCATGGGCATACTAAAAGATTGTTCAGTGGAAATGGGGTGTCGTAAGATATGTTAGAGACGTGGGGTCTCAAAATGATGGAAGAACTTGATTTCTAATCAAGCACGAGGAATTTCAGCTCCCTTATTATAATTCACCTAGACACGATAATGCGAAGTAAAAAAAAAATTAATGTAGATACAAGAAAGTAGGGATACATTAATTGAAGAACGAGGTGGTGGGCTATGTTGGCGGTACAACTAAAAAGTAAAGATTAAAACTACATACTAAAAAAGGAAAATAAAGCAGCAGACATAGAGTATGGGAATGATGATGACCCCTTAATGAGAGAGGGCTTTTCTATTTATAGGTGATCCTGACTTGGTGCTCAATCCTTATGATTGTTGCTTTTCTTGAATGTAGGAAGCACTTTCTCCCTTATGGCTGCTTTTTCTACTTACATAATTCAAGCGTCATGGGTGGAGTGTGAAGATGATGGTTTAGACTCAGTTTTGATTTAGTAGCTAAGGTTTCATGAATATTCATTTTTAATTATTTTAAAGTTGATTAAGTTGAGTTGAGCCCGGGTTTTCAAATTCACAATTTAGGTGCAAACATTTATGTTATCAGGTCATGTTTAATTTACACATTTTTTTTAATTCAATTGAAAATAATCATTTCAACAAATTTTAATCAGATTCCAATCCTCCTAGTTATTACTAGCAATATTGCTTTCTTAGAGTACAATATATAACCAGTTAGTAAAATATACTATACCTATGCGAGTTGAATTTCTGCTTAAAATGTATGGACGAATTAAATAAGATAAATGGGTTAGGCTTTCTAAAACTATCTTCTTAAGTGATCAAGCGCACCTTTTGTCCTTGATCACAAGCATTTGTTAAAAAAATAAAAGGGCTTGAGCTCTTTAAATGTGAGGCCAGGCCATAAGCCTGCTTTTCATTTTTCTTTTAATTATAATTTTAAATTTAATTTATTCATTTTTGTTAACAAAATTAATATATTTAAATATTTATAAATTTTAATTATTTTTTGATATGGAAGAATATCAACTATTTCGAAATATTATATCTATCCTCAGGTTTATCAAAATTTGTAATTTATGATTTGTTTTATTTATTTGTATGTTGCAATCTATTATGTCCTATTAATTTTCCGTGTTGTTTACTTGTGTGTTAAAATTTTATTCCATAATTTAATTTACATGTCAAGTAATTTCATAATTTAAAATATTTAAGAATAGTTATTAGTATCTTATTATTTAAAAAGTCCAGGCTTAGAATTCAGTCAATCAGCAGTAATGTTCCATTGAAGAAAGCCTACTCCGAGCCTGTGCACGATCCGGTCCGTTCCTCACCATTAAGCCCACGACTAAACAAATCCAGTCTGAGCATTTTTATTTTTAAAGTCAAATATACTGGTCAAAACTCAAAAGTCCAGTGACGGGACGAGGCACCGGAAAACCAAAGAGAAGGCAAAACGACATCGTTGCTGGATTCATACCACAAGGGCGCACATATATCGATAGGTCTTTCGAGTTGATGCGAAGGTCGGCGCCTCCTCCTCAGGGGTTTTAGCACATTTTGTTATCCTCCGCCTTCCCTGTATGCCATCAGGGTTTAAGGCAGCCTCCATTTCCTTCATTTTCCCGTCAGAGACTTGACACCATGGACTCTCTGTCTAAATTTCACCACTGTGGTCAACCATTGCACGTATCTACTAGTCACCACCGTTCGTCGTTTCCAACGCCCTTTTCTTCCGTCTCTTTCAGGGCGCTACCACCGCCGGCTTCCCCTCTCCAATTTCCCTCTTCTTCCTTCCGGTTATCACCTCTCAGAGCGTCTTCCTCATCCTCCACCTCATCCACTGATCCCTCATTTCCTAAGCCCGGACCCATTCTGACCCCTCTGCTCCAAACCCTAAACTCCCTTTTGTCACCTGCTTTTGAAACTGTTTGCATCATTGTAGCCGCATCTGCATTTTTTTTCATGCGTTTTCAGCATATGCCTGTTATTGCAGCTACGGTTTCGTCATCCACGGTGGAGTCCTTCCAAGAGTCGACGGATAAATCTTCGTTCGAAGAAAAGGAGAGAATTATTGAAGTGCAATTGATGGATAACCCCAATAATATCGAAGCTCTTCGGTCTCTCATGGAGCTTAAGATCAGAGCGCATAAAATTGAAGAGGCTATTCAGGTCATTGACCGTTTGATTGAGCTTGAGCCCCATGACTTTGAGTGGCCGCTTATGAAGGCTCATATGTACATCTATAATGGCGACTACCAATTGGCCAAAGGTGGGTTCGAAGACATTCTGAGTAAAGATCCATATCGTTTTGAAGCTTATCACGGCCTTGCAATGGCTACTTCCGAATTAAACGAGCCATTGAACGATTTGGTGAAGAGGGTTAAAAAAGCTGTGGAGTTTTGCAAAAAGGAAAAGAGGAACTCAGATGTCAGAGACTTGAAGCTATTACTTGCGCAGATTAAAGTCATGGAGGGATCCTTTTCTGACGCGCTGAAGGCCTATCAGGAGCTTGTCAAGGAAGAACCAAGAGATTTTAGACCGTACTTATGTCAAGGTATCATATATACCCTGCTTAGAAAGAAAGATGAAGCGGAGAAACAATTTGAGAAGTTCCGGAGGCTCGTCCCAAAGAATCACCCTTATAATGAGTATTTTGAGGATAATATGTTCGCAACCAAGTTTTTCGCGCAGAAGTTTGAGAGGGAGGGAGCTGGAACAAAGAGCTGAGAAACATGGTTCACTGAGTTTTTTCCCTCGATTACAATGAAAGTGTTTATAAAAAGGTTGTCCTTCGTCCTTCCTTTTTTTCATAGAAATTTTGATTCCCTCTTACGGCTCTTTCCTTTTGTCTTGTTAAATGCTTTGGATAATGGATAGTGACCCCAATGATAATTTAGACCATCTGTTATCCCTCTAACTGGGTTTGAGAATTACTTCTTGTCTTTCTCTCTAGTAGATATAGAGTTGTTAGGGCTGGTGGTCAATGAAACCTGTTTTTTATTTTTTTGAACTGGATGTATTGGCTGAGTATGTATGCATTGATTTCTTCCCCACCTGCCATGATTAATTAAGATAATGATGAGATTATAATACTGATCGAGTAGGAGATGCAAATTCTGGAAATGCTAGCCCCACTGAATCTTACGCAAGACATACAGTGTAGTTCACATTTTTTTGGTTAAAATTTGCAAGTTTCTTTGCATTTGACAGTGTATTTTATAATTAAATACAACATGAAAGGCGCTGATGAAGAAAATTTCTTTGGGAGATGCCTTGGAAAATGGGACGCTGATGCAACTGCATCCTTTCTGTTTGTTATTGGCTTATAATTCTGAATAGCGTGTGGAAATTCAGTGATCGAGATCCTGTGCCCTGTAATGCATGTCTCCGAATCTTTCCTCGCCGAGTCTTGATCCTATTGTCTACTGAAGACTAATGTTATGCTCAGTGAAGAGGGACACGTTGAAGGTTCCTCTTTGGTTTAGCAAAAATCTCTTATGTGATTGTTACCTTAATTTCTTTTAGTATCTTTTTATTATGCGGACGTGCTTTTATTAATAAAAAAAAAAGGCGTAGTAAGGTACTAAATGTGTGCACCTGTTTTAATGAAAGTTTTAACCTGAGATTTTAGTATTTGACTTGAGGTCTAGCTCCTTTTTTTTTTTTTCTTTTTATGTGATGCGATAATTACACGCCCACCTATCCCTTACAATCCTGCCATAGTGGAGGAAAACTCTCGCACACCTATATACTCACCTGGTTTTGATGTTTGAAGTTTGAACCAGCAAGCTCCCCATTTTGGAAGAGTGCCTGGTGCCATTGTAGCGTTAGCTCTGCATTAGGTCACTCTTCGCTTTGATTATGTTCAAACCATGGAAACATGCTTAAAGCGGTTGTGCGGCTTATGCCTCAACTGTCTGTTAAAACGTCTGTATGTGTAATCAGAATTCAGATGCTGTTGACATGACACTCGGATGTTTTTTAATCATTTGGTTATCGTGTTCATGAATGGAAAATAGTGCTGTTGATCTTATATTTCAAATTCATACAAAAACACCAGGTCGCAACTGAGTTGACTCCATATCTGTTTGTGCTTCTGACCATTTAAATTTAATTGAAATAAAAAGCAACAAATATAAATGGCCCAAATTTATTATCATAACAATGTAGTGGGCCGTTCCTGGTGCGGCGCAAGTGGATAAGATAAGGCCGGTCTGCACCCGCCACCCGATTTACCTGGCCCAAAAAGTGACATTTGGGGTAAAAGAAGAGGACAAAAAGCCGCCAAGAACGAACATACGAGAGATTCTAAGCCCAAATAAACTGAAGAAAGCAACATCTTTCTGGATCCATTATGAGTGCCCGCATGCTTGCCGAAACCCATTGGTTAAGTTGGTTTTTTGTTATTATTATTGCTTAAAAATGGTGTATCATTCTACCAAAAAAATGTGTATGAGTTTTTCTAAAATACCCCGGGAAAGAAAAAGTATTAAATGAGAGACAAAAAGTCAAAAACTGTGATAATAATGAGGATAACTTTGGAAAAAAATATTAAATAAATGAGATAGGGGAGATTGAGATCCTATATTGAGGACCAAAAGAAATAGTTCAACTAGGTCTTATATTTAGGACGGGAACAAGTATTATATAAGGGGACCCGCATCTGTATCTATATCTAGGATAATATATGCATGCACAGAGGATGTAATGAAATGGTAACTCTATCAAGACTATACCCAAACCATGGCTCGCGTTGAAGATAGTGGGTCTGTCGTGTTGGCGTAGCACTTGTCTAGTTTGGAGGAGCTGAATCTTGATTTCGAAGCAGCCCATGGGCATGGTGAGTTTTCTCTGTCTGTAACTGACCGTGAAGATGGTTGGTTTCACCGGAAGTATCGTCATGAATTTTATATTTTATTTATACGATATTGATTCTTTAAATAGCATTTGATCAATAATCCCTAATCAACTCAATCTTGGGCTTTGATGGGATCTTCCCCCCCCCCCCCCCAACCCTTTTTTTAATTCAACATTTTACAGATTCACAATTGTGTGGATAGATATTTTGTGTTACCGCTTCGTCGGGAATCGGATCCCCATCCCCAAGCGCCCATCTCATAATTGGAACGTCTGATTTAAATTCGAAAATAGTCGATCAAAATTATTTAAAATAACAACTAATGAAAATTTTGAAATTCAATTTAGTTAGATTTAAATTTAAATTTAAATAATTACTAAGTCGTTTTCATTATTATATAATTAATATTTTATATTTATGTATTAAACATAAAAAATTAAATTTTAGAAAAATATTGATCTATATAATATTTAATTTTTTATCTATATTTATTAAATTATCATTTTTTTAAAATGCTTATCCTAAACCCTGATTGATTTGTAATTAATATTATTATCGGGAGGATGCTAATCGATAGGTAAATAAATAGACCAAATATATATAGATAAAGAAAACTAGAAAAAAAAAGGTGCAACTTTTTAAATATATTTAGATTTATATTAGATTTGGATTTAGATTATAAATTAGAAATACGATGAAATGGAACGGAAGCATCAAGCAATGTATACTTATGTTTTTTTCCTCTCAACTTTTTTTTTTATTTAATTCGTAAGAACTTAGCGCTAATGTATCGGCCTATAAGGGGCTTAACAAAATTTTTGCCATCAAGAACTCAAGAATAGTTTACCCGTAGCAGGATCAATAACAATAAATCTATGTGATTAATAACGACGGCTCGTCCAAAAAAAAATAATAATAATAATAACGACGGCACACATTCACATAACCAATTACCAATGTAACCATTAATAAACATAAATGAAATGGATCCATGGCAACTTATACACCGAAGGTCAACACAAATACGATTGCTAATTTAAAGGAGAACAAAATCCGAAGCAGTGAAAAAGCCCTAATGCATACTCCGACTAATTAAAAGGGAAAACAAAAATCCAAAACAAAAAAAAGCCCTAAAGAACATCAGCATTGGGATCTAATTGATCGCGTAAATCCATGTAAGTGGAATAAAGCAGTCGATCTTTGGCTGCAGTTCTATGACGGTTGACATGTTTGCAAAAATACCTGAGATAAGCGATATTGCAATGCCCGATCATTTGTCCCAGAAACAAAAACAGCCAATTGGTGGATCTCTTCTTGGTATTTACAAGAGGTTCCACACACTTGCTAGAACCACACAGCTTACAATCCAAGTTCTCGGGATTGCACCACTTTTTCGGTGCTCGATCGTGCATATTGTCCTTCGTCTCATCTATAAAACTAGCAACCTCTGCGAACTTGGTCTGCAAATCGAAGTCAATCTGGTACTGCTCCTCGCACACCTTGCAATGAACGTCACCGCTGATTAGAGTAATATTCCGGGACAATAATTCCTCCATGCTTAAAACTTTGGCCCGGCTTGGTTTAGCCCATGGATATGGTGGCTCTATGGACGTCTCCTTGTGTTTTTTACGCCAACGTCTAGCACCGAACGGACCAGCTTGGCCTTCTGGTGTGCGCGTAGGATTCGCCGGTGGCGCCTGTGGCTGCTGTGATTCGGGTGGCTGTGAAGAAGCATCATGGTGCGGCCGTTGAGGTGGCGACCACGACGGGTGCAACAATGGCGGTGATGAGGAAGATGGAGGCATTAGTTGTAAAAGAGAATGATGGGGTGGTGATTCAGGAGGCGGCAGCGGCGGATTCTGTGGCAGAAGCTGGCAAGATGAACCAGTCGAGAGAGAAAGTCGAAGCAACTCTTCGTGTTCCGCTTCTTCTGCGCTCACTGTTTTTGGATCTTTGGACCGAAATTCTTCTTTTATGGTTTTTCGTATTTTGGACCGAAATTCTTCGTTCATGGTTAAAAGGACAGGATAGGATGGAAGAGAAACTGGACGTAACGAAAGAACTAGGGCTAGGTCAATAGAAAAGAAACATCGGAGAGAATTGGGAAGGTGAGGAGTATTCTCGTATCCTGTTATTGAATTCGATTAGTCCCTACCAGTCTATACCCCGAGATTCAAGCCCATTGGTGGGGCTATTTAAATATTTGGATGAAATTTCAAAAAAGAAAGGAAGAGAAAGTAAAAAAAAAAAAAAAGTACATGATTAAGTTGGGGTAGGGACCATCTGAATCTTATGAATCATTAATCTGAAATCTCTACCAGTTTTTATCTTTTAATCAGGATTATCTTGTGAGTTTAAATAAAATATATTAAAACAATTCTCTTTTCACTAAAGATTGATCCGTGTATCGAGTATTATTATCAAACTTTTGAATTAACTCTCTAATTTTTATTGTTTTTATATTTTTTTAACTTATAAAATTATATTAAATCGCTTATAATTTCGGATTAGATATAAATTTGGGTAAACTTATAAGTTAATTTTTAAAATTTATCGTTTTTATATTTCTAACTTATAAAATTATGTCAACTCTCATAAATTTAGATTAGATGTGAAACTCATTGATTTTTTATTGAATTGAGCAAGTTAAGTTTATAGTATGTAAAACTCAGTTCATAAAAGTGGTATGACCTATTTAAAAAAAATAAAATTCAAAAACTAAAAACTAATATTAATAAAGAAGAAAATAAGGAATATCAAAAAATATGTTGCCCCTATTTTAAAATTTTTTTGTTGTGTATGATAATTTATCAATGTATATGAATTTAATTTTAATAATTTATATTTAAAATATATTTAAATTAAATTATGATCATATTTTATATTTTAATTATTTAATTATATACTTTTAGTGGCTATTTATTAATATAGAAAAACTCTAATGAGTTTACAATTCAAATTTACATCACCATCATGAGTTTATTTAAATACACTATTTTAACAACTATCAAGGATGTATTAGTATAACATTTCAATTTAAATTTTAATAATTAATTTGAGTTAATAAAAATTTTAAAAAATATTTAGAGGTAAATAAATTAGTAGGAAATGATTATTAAGTCTAACTTAGCATATAATTCTAAGTTAAGATTTTAAAAATTATTATTATTATTATTATTAAAAAAAAAGAGAAATATAATAGAAAGGGAGATTGAAAAATGAAATGAAAATATGTGTGTGTGGGAATTAAATAAAAAAAATAAAAAAAAGGGGGGAGGTGGAGCGTTTTGCTTGCAGTGTAATGTACACACACACACACACACACACACACATATATATATTAATAAATTAAAAAAAAAGAAGAAGGAGGAGCAGACGTGCTAGACGTACGTACGTACGTATGTACGTACATACATACATATTTATATATTAAAAAAAGGAAACGAAAGCAAAAGAAGGTAGGACCCACACTTTTTTTAAAACCCACGTACACCCTTCTCTTCTCATTTTCCTTCATTTTCTTTATCTTTTGTGTGCGAACAAAGGGAGCATCTGTGAGCACGAGTTCGCCGGTGCTGGAGAGCTACATTTTTTAAGTTGAGATTTCTTAATAGGATATTTAGGATGAGATTTTAAGTTTTTCAAAATTAAATAAGTGTTTTAAAAATTTTCTTAGCCATCCTTTCTCTTTGGTTTCTGATTTTGTGGCGATAGAAAATTTAGGATTTGAAAGAGGAATGAATTTATGTTAAATAAATATGATTGTTAAGGTTGTTAGCAGTATAATAAATATTTTAGAGTATAAATTTGTTAGTGAGCTTTGAATTTGAAGGTTATGGATCAAACCCTAGGCTAAATTTTTATTAAATTTGAAAATATATATTGATTTATTAAGGTTTATATGATTATTTAGGATGAGAAATGGATTATTATGGCTATAGGATGATGATCCTAAGCTTGATACTCAATTTTTAATTTTTGGATATTTTAGGTGCGAATTTATAAAATAAAAAGAAAAATTTTGATAATAGAAATTAATTTAAAGGTTGATTTTAACTTATTAATATTTATTAATGACTAAAAGAGGAGTTAGAAATTTTACTTAATATACTAACTCTAGATTTGTATTAAGATTGAGATTAAAAATTATGTTATATTCTCTAATCCTATTATTAGAGTTATTTTATTAGTTTTAATAATTAAAACTAATATTTATAAATAATATATTATTTGTAGATTATGTTGTTGGTGAAATTGTGGTGGAAGAGAAATTATAAAGAATAATTTATTGAAAAAATCATAAGGTAACTATGCTTTTAATTTGTGTTCAGTGTTGTTTCATATTAATTGGGTAATTATTGAAAAAATTATGAATTATTATTGAGAAATTACCTTGTTATGTTTATGAAAAATTTTGAAATTATGGATATGCATTTTGAAGTATTTTTGCTAAGTGGGATGTCATATTGTTAAAAATGAAAAATTGTGAAAATTATAATATTATATAATTGTACAATATTGTTCTGAATTTGTTTGATTAGTGTGGGAGGTGTTAGGAGACTTATTGTTGTTGTATTTATGTGCCATGTGGTACGCCCCCATTGGAGCTCAATAGGTTGCTTGTAAGGCTCAGGTTAATTTACTTTTAACTGGGTAATTTAGCACCGTGTGAGGGCTACGACTCGAGTTAATGGAAGGAGATAAGGATGGTTGTTTGTTATGTATTGTAATATTTCTTGTATTTTATTAGAATTATATGACTGTTGTTTCCTCACTTAGCAAACACACATTTAACTGTTTATATACACTATTATAAATTGGCATTAGTTATTGAGACTTTTGAGTCTCATTATGTGGTTAACAATTTTCAGGATAAGAGTCACGAGTGACACGTGAAGGAGTCCCTGAACTTAGTGGTGTAGATCCACTGTCTCTTTTAGATATTTGATTTATAATTTTTAATGTGTTATATTGCCAATACTAGAACTTTTGTTTATTGGCAATTATATGAATGTAATGATGTAATCATGCCCTTCAAATTATTTCTACTTTTGGTATACTTGGGATGACAATAACTTTGATCTCTGATTTATTTTAAATGGTTTGAAATGACATGATTATGAGGTCAAATAATTGACTTGTTTTGAAAATTGATTAAGTTGTTAGTTATTGGTTTATGGTTTGTACTTGTTGGGAGTATAAAGATGGAAAATGTGGTTTTAGCCTAATGGCATGTGAGAAGTAAAAATTTATCTGAGATGTTGTATTGTGCAAGTTTAAACTAATTATAAAATATTTTATATTAAATTTATTGATATAAAATGTGTTGGGTGGCTGTAACCTAACTATAATTGTAAATGTATATTAGTTGTATAAAATTGTTTTGTATTATTTAAAAAAGGATTTAATCTTTTCTACCATGGTAGTGCTTTAAATTATAGAATTGTTTTAAAAAAATTTGGATAAGTTGACTTCTGTTTACCATGGTAGACACTTTTCTACCATGGTGGAGTTAAATTATTATTTTTTTAAAAAAATTTAGGGTGTTACAATCAGCGTCTTCAAGATGATCAATTTCAATATTGATATGGATATATTGAATCATTGAAAGATGATGTCAAATTCATGAGTATTTTTACAATATGCTAATCCAATTTTTAAAATATTTATGAAAAAAAAATTAAAACCACCACTATAGGATATAAAGAAATGAATTGTAGTAGGTTTTTTAAATAAACAATGAAAACAACAAATAAAATAAAAGATGAAGTCTCTGATTAAATAAATAATAATATTATGAAGGGTAGAGGAGAGATAATTAATTACCTTGATTTCTTATACACAGGAAAGATAATGATAATGAATTTGTGTTAGGATAAGTTATTTGAAAAAACAAATTTTATAAGTCATCATTTTACTTTATTATATATTGTTTATTAAACCTGATTTAACCGCATGTGACACTTTCTACAGCCGCATCAGTTAAAGCCGCACCCATAATTGGACATCCAAGCAATATACAAATTATAAACTACATTAATTGATGAGATAGTTAAATTCAGGGTACGATTGGATTAGCATTAATTGGATAATCAGAGTTTGGATAAAATTGATTTGTAAGCATGGTTTTGGATATAATTAATTTAATAAAAATGCAAAAGCAAGTAGGAGCTGCTTATGAGAAAATCACTTTTTGAACTTTCAAAATTAATTTTTTGAGCTTATAATTGATTGAATCAAAACATGTGTGTTTGAAAAAAATAGAAAATAGCATTTTGAGATTTTCATAATTGATTAAGGCATTTGATTATCCTTTGATGTAGGAATGAGGGTATAAATATAGTATTAACCTTACTCATGAAGGAATCTCACAAAATAAGGTTTTTTTTTTTTTTTTTTTATGGCCTGGGGTGCAAATCTACCCTGAAGTATTGTGGGATGAACATCTGGCATTCTTAATTAAAGAAAAGTGCAACGTTACCTCCATTCTTTTTAAAAAAGTGCAATGTCACCCAATTTTTTAACAGATTGAATTTTTTTACTAACATGTATCACCATGGCAAGTCGGGTAGGACAACTTTTATTTAATATATTTATTTTAAACATAAAAGACTAAAATACCCTTTTCAAAATTTTTTTAAAAAAAACCATCGGATCTGATAACCACGAACATAACTTCCGGCGACCACCATAAAGCATTGAGCCTTAGCCACTATCTCCAAAAACATATCATATCCTTTTCAATCAACTTGTGATCAAGGTGATGATTCTGAACACTTGTGATCAACTTGCAAATGTCATGTTCTGATTCATGTGTCCCTTCTTCCATGATCCATTCTTACACATCAAAATCACTTTTAATCGATACCAAAATACTGCAATAAGATTAAGAATAATGCCCTCAATATCTGTGATCCCCACTATTGGCGACTCTCTAGCAAAATGGCTTTTCATGCAATGGGGAAAGTGATTGCCATTGGTGGTTATGACGATGATGTTGGTGATACTCTTTCTGCTAAGTTTGCCACTTTTGCTACTATTCAGTCCGTTGAATGCTGACACTATGATTGCGTTAATGGGAGTAATGGTCATTGCCATTAGCCGTGGAGGTCATTAAGGCTCCTGCGATTCACCAAATCATGAAGGAGATTAGGGATTGTAGCTTTAGGCCTCTTTTGTATCCCTGTCTAAGTCTTTAGCTTCTCTATGTACCCCTCCCTCCATTTTCACAAATTCAAGTGCCCCCAAAACCTGTAACTTAGTCACTAGATTCATAAAAGATAGGTTTGATCTACCAACATAACAACCATATCTAATCTGCCAACGTAAAAAAACAGGAAATTAGATTCACAAAAACCAGATCCTATAACTCTATCCCAGGAAAGAAATCAGATTTGCGCCTTCACTTGAAGATGATTTTGTTCAAATTTTACAAAGTCCATCATAGCTTACGGTTAGATCCGTTCATCATTCCCATTTTTCTTTCTTCACTAACCATTATTCAAGTTGTCATATGGTTGGTCTTCCTCTGCTACATCGTATATTGCCATATGGGCATAATTTTATTCGACCAACAAAAAGAAATGAAGTGGATGCCACTTGAACATGCCTATAGGGACTGTTAGGTCAACTAATAATCAAACATTAGCCGTTTATTAAAATTGGGTGACATTACACTCTTTTTAAAATATTAGGGGCAACATTTCACTTTTTCTTAATTAAAGATATTAGACACTCCTCGTGTGATACTTTGAGGGAAGATTCGAACCTTAATCTTTTTTTTATTATTCTTGAAATTTTGAGTTCAACATAAAAAATGTGCTATATCTTTTATTTCAATCCATGAAATTTTCTTTCTTCTCCTTGATCTCTCACGAAGATAAATAATTCAATATTTCAACCACTTGATTCTTTAAATAAATACTATAGGGATAAATCAAAACTTGGTTTTGATACAATTTTTTATGGATGGGGAGTGATTGTTTGGAAACTATGAAAGAAGAAATGGGAAAGAATAATGAAAGAAAACTCATGCTTGAACAACATAATAATATTTAGCAAAAAGATTAAAATAAAATATTATATAAAAGTAAAAGACTAAATGTGTATTAACTAATGCTAGGTCGATAGAAAATAAACATAAAAGAAAATTGAGAAGACAGATAGTATTCTTTTATTTCATATGTATTAATTAAGAGGAATTAGTCTCGCCACGAGATTCAAGCCCAGTTAGTGAGGGTATTTAAATATGGAGAATATCAATAAATAATTTCTGAAATGATTTAATATTTGAAAAGGACTTATAATAAGTAAACATTCATAATTAATAAGTGAAAATTCAAATTTTGTCAAATATCCAATCCATTCAAATCCTTTTTTAATATTAAATCATTTTAATTGTCCTTCATTGATATTCTCCCATTTAAATATATGGGTAAGAGTGTGTGTGTGAGAGAGAGTGAGAGAAAGATGGAAGTATAGAAAATAGGACCTGATTAAGTTGGAGTAGGGACTATCTGAATCTTATGATTCATTAATCTAAATTCTCTACCATTTTTTATCTTTTAATCAAAGTTGTCTTGTGAGTGTAAATAAAAATATATTAAAACAATTTAATTTTGAAAAAATGATAATAAAATCTTTTGAAATTATATAAATAACAATTTGATCCGTCGAAATGTCATAATACTGATAAAATCCTTAGGAACTTTTCTATCATTAATGAATTAATATAAATAATAAAATTACCCTTAATTCAAATATCAATTGTTATTTACAAGTTTTGTTTCAAGTTTCACAACTTTTTTTCTTAAAATCACAAGAATTCAATAACAACTTAAGCATTTGAAATTCTGATATTTCTTAAGTGTTGCAAATATCAATTGTCATTCACAAGTTGCGTTCTACAATTTACAACTTTTCTTTTTAAAATCGTAAGAATGCAATAACAATTTACAAGTTCACATTTGAAAACCTGAACTAAAGATAATTTGATTATTTATATTAATTTTTTAGTGATAAAAAAGTTTTCAAGAACTTCATTGATATTATAATATTTTGAGGGACAAAAAGGTAATGTAGTATCAAGGAAGTATTAGAATCTTTAAGATGATCAATTCCAATATTGATATGAATAGATTGAATCACTGGAAGATGATGTCAAATTTACCAGCAAGTATTTTTACACGATGCTAATCCAATTTTTAAAATATTTATGAAAAAGAAATTAAAACTGCCACTATAGGACATAAAGAAATGCATCGTAGTAGATTTCCTAAATAAACAATGAAAATAACAAATAAAATGGAAGATAAAGTCTCATAACTTAATAAAATGCTAGTATTAATGAAGAGTTGTGGAAAAGAAAATTTATTACTTTCATTTCTTATACACAGAAAAGATAAAGATAATGAATTTGCATTAGGGTGAGGCATAACATCCTTCTAAGCTTGTTTGAAGAGGTTTTCCATATTCTTTTATCTCATAAAAGATGAGAGCACATCATATTTTAATTTAAAATTTTAAAATTCAAGTTTATTAGTCATTTAAAAAGGGAAAATAATTGTAAAATCCCTTATAAACACTCTAACTACTTGACAGTCCCAACAAATGTAAGAAATGGCTGTAAAGTACCTAAAGACTTAGCTGTAAATAAGATTTTTTTTTATGAATTGATCAAAATGCCCATAATTTAAAGAAGACACCTTTAGCTTGTTCTACTACAACCTGATATGAGCTTGTCCTTTTCTCTTCCTTTCATGCATCCTTACAATATATATTCAATCAAATACGTCACCTACTTGGAGATCTGAAGTCTAAATAGAGACAAACAATTTTGGATTTTTTTTTTTTATCGCTATGCATGTTACTTTAGATATTTTTTAATACTTTAATCGTCTGTTATCTTAGCCTTCAATTGTTTTGATCACTATTATGTTATTGACAATTTGATAATAGATATTGACAATATTGAATTGAATTTTCTTTCTTCTCCTTGATCTCCCATATAGATAAATAATTCAATATTTTAGTTATTTAATTCTTTAAATGGATAATATAGAGGAAAATCAAAACCTGACTTTGATATCATTTATTAGGCTTTGACACTATTTATTATAGATGTGAAGTGATTGCTCATAAACTTTGAAAGCCAAAATGAGCAAGAACAATAGAAGACAACTTACACTTGAATAACATAATAGTATTAAACAAGTAAAATTTTTTTATGTAAAGTTAAATGACTAGATCCGTACTTAAACCTTAAATTATTTTACATGATCATGCACTTATATATTTGAAGAGACTGATATTTGAGAATTTAACTCTCTCTTTATAGATATATTTTCTAGCCTTATTTATAGGTGGAGAGAAAAGGTTAATTTTTATTCTATTTATAAAGCACCCTGTTAATTTTTATATTTATTTTTATCTTTTTGCTAATAGTGATTGCAGGACTCGAAACTCATGGGAGCATAATTATATAGAATGTAAAATAATAAAAAATATTTTAATATATATCTATATATATAATAAATATTTAGTGTTGCAAAATAATATTAGAAAAGAAATATTAAAATGATATTTTATTAAAATAATCTGCATTTAAATATAATGTATTCAAAATTTAAAATGTATTGAGTTTAAGTGAAACATAAAAGACTCAATTTTTTTGAAATCAAATATATTTTAATTTGGATCTAGTGGATTTAAAATCATTGGATGTAATGAGGGTAAATTTGCAAAAATCTTAAATGCTCTTATTAATTTATCGAGTTGAGTGGGTGCACTTGCCCATCTTCATCACTATCCATGTCCATTCAAATTGAAACCGTGATTTAAAGCCTGAAATAAAAATTATTCTCTGTGACCAATTTTAAATAACAGAGGCATTTGGATCTTATTGTCGGCGTAAATAAATCATAAATGGAATTAATCAGCCATTGATTTTTAGATTTTTTTATAAAAGCGGGCATGTTTGAAATATTATTTGATATGAATATGATTGAGATTGCAATATCCAAAAATGATCTGAGACTCAAAATTTAATCCGCAAGAAGCGTACGTCTTCCTCCCAGATTTCAGAGATTGATTATATTGTGGATTGGATTAAAGCAGAGGGAAAACAAAAGGTAGCAAGCGAATTCAAACTCCGACACAAACGCATTACGACAACACCGCTTGAATTTCTTCCAGCAAGTCTCCCCCGCAGGAAAAGATTACTGCTACATCAACTTTCCTACTTCGTTAGCGCGTTTCATGATCCCATCGGCAACCACACTCGCTAACACTTCCAATTTACACTAATCAAAGCACTACTTAGTTCACATTCAAATCATACTTAATTTCGTTTTCTTCAACAAGATATTATTGATTTTACTTCCTAGTTTCGGCTGTACCGGAGGCAGTTGGTGTTGCTGGCACTGGCCAGAATTGGGCATTCTTCACCTTCGATACACTCGCCAATACACTCAAAGGAGTCACATCTCCAACTATTGTCACCTTTTTCGCAGCAAAATCTATGTTGAAGGAAGAAACTCCTGCCAAAATCGTAAGAAAATAAATGAATTTTTTTAGTTACAAAGGGAACGGCGTTCTTGCCAACCATGCAAAAATAAATCCTGGGGCTAAGAAAGTTGTATGAGAGGGTTGGTGACAAGCTGACCTTCCATTCTGGAGAGATGTTTCCTTAGTTTTCCCTCACAACCTCTGCAGTGCAGAGAAACCCTCAATACCACTACCTGAAAAAAAAAAAAAAAATCCATAAGGAGTTATATACCATTACCGTGTAGCTTGATGAGAGGCTGCATTGGAGAATCCAAGACAAGAAGCGTACGTGGTGGAGATAACTAACCTGGTCGGAGGAAGCGGGTCTTGAGAGGGAAGATGTAGAGGGTTTAGAAGCATGATTGGTCTCATCTTGACCAGCAGATTGAGCCTTCTGGTTGGCATCATCAAATGGAGTCAAGGCCAAAACTGGGTCATAGTTGGATAAGCCATCCAATACGGAAGTCTCAGTAAGCAAATATCTAGAAGAACCTGGAGGAGTGATGATCAAATCAGGAGGTGGTCTAACCCAGCTTCTTCGAACAATACTTTCAATTGGCTTTGAAGTGTAAGTGTTTGTGATATGTTCAGTCAGCCTTCCTGCAGCACTTTTCTTCCTCTGATCATGACTCTTCCTCGAGTTCCTCCTGTTCTCGTCCCTTGGCTTCGAGGATGAGTTTTTCTTGGCCTTTTGGGGTTGCTCGCAAGGTTTTGGATCTTTGGGTGGCAGAGACAAAGAGGAAGGAGAAGCACACGGAGCTCTTCTTGAATCTCTGATAATAGGATTGTGGCGATCGATGGCTCGGCCACCAAGCTGAACCGATTTAGAAGTGGAAGAGGAAGAGGAGGCTTCATCCATACTAACACATATGGCTGTTGAGGCTTGCGAAGAGCAGAAAATTTCAATGCCTTTCATCTTTGGATGTTGATAACAAAGAAGAATTGGTAGTAGTGTACAGAATCTGCAGAAAAACAGAGAGGAAGATATAAAGACTACAGAGCAAAGCAAAAAAAGGTAGGCACCGATTGCTTTTAAACTTCAATTTCCTTAGAGCTGTCTGAGGTGAGCTAAAGAGAGGGGAAGGTTCAAATGAAATATTGCGGGTAGGAAAGGCTTAAACTTTTCCCATAGTTGTATGAACATGGTGAAAGAATCAAAGGGCTCATGGTAATGCCATGGTTAGGTTCCACGACGACTTAAATTCAAATGAGTTTGTGAACAGTGTACTTACCTAACATTGTTGCCGGCACATTCATATTGCTGTGAGGACCCCACTAACAAATAAATAGCGTGCCCAGTACAGTACAGACTCTGCTTCTAAATTTCAATTTCTAAGGCCTCACAAATTCAGAGGATTACAGTTCTGTTGTTGTGGCGTCGATTTCCAACCTCGCCGTATCTCAGAAGCATGTTTTTTCCCAATTGAAATGATTTTGTCCTAGAATTTTGAACCTACGTTGTGCCGTTATCATAATATACATAATAGTGACATATTTTCTTGAAGTTATAATATAAATCATAATTAATTAATTCCACATTTATGAATAATATTAATTAAAACCTTAAATTAAGAAAAATATTCATATCTGTTTATTTATATTCTCATTGAATATTTTATATAAAAGTTTTGATGATAATAATTAAAATTTAAACGTATTATTAATTTTCAGGTGAAGCAAAGTGAAAATAAAAGAAAGGTGGGGCGCGGGGGGACCGGATAACTAAAGCACGGTGAAAATGCGTGTGCTCTGTGAGCCTGTTGGCATGTTGGGCGTGCACTTCAGGTTTTAATTCAGACCAAGCACTCGAGAGCTATCTGTCAAGACAGAGGCGGCTTGATCAGATTAAGACATTAAATCGGACATTTAAGTGCAGTCTGATGCTAATTGACGCTAGTGATTAAAGCAGGTTATTTAAAGATAACTAACGAAACGAAAGTAGGTATCGTTTACGGGTTACTTTGAATTGAAGAATTATAAATCTAAACTAGCTCCTGAATTTTTTTTAAAAAATGTCATTCGGAGTTGAGAGTTATGCTTTCTTTGTTTTTGTAAACCCTTTTTCAAAGCACTGAGAAAATAAAAGGCATCAAACTAGCAGTAACGTTTGGTTCTGGTCGCGCACGAACAGTGAAACGCAAACCTAATTATAATGATGATGATTAAAAAAGACGAAGAAAAAGGATAGTAAAGGAGAATGGAAACGCGGTATGATTGAGATTCTAATGAAATAAATGCTGCCAGTTAGCCAACCATTTCGAATTTTGCTTTCCTGTGGGAGGATGAAACGCAAAGCCACTTTCTTTCTCTCTTCCAATAACAAAAAGAAAGTATTCACAATTCGTGGAATCAGATGCTTCCATGGCTTTCCTTCTTCCTTCCCGTGCACACCCCATCTTCAATTTGAAGATTTCAGTTGACGACCCCAGGCTTGCCTTTTCCTGTTTCCATGCTTGCCTCGTCCTTCTTAAGCTTCTTTCACAAGATACTCCATTTTTTTTTCTTTAAAAAATAAATAACAAGTGTAGGACTTCGTTGATACATCTAACACTGCCAGAGCATAAATCTTGCAGAGTAGCATATATTGGCATAACTTTCTCCGTCACTGCTATTTGATTAATGGTTATGAACCAAGAAAATAAGTAGTAATATCGAGTCAATCAGGGGTAAATTTAACACGACCCCTTTTAAATACTTGAAGGAATAATTTGATTCTCAGATTATCCAACAAGCAGATAGGGTTGTGGGCATGGTCCCGGAGAACAAAGTGGGTGCGATCCCGACTAGCCATCAGAATCGAAAGCATGAAGAAAGAAATAGAAGGGCATCTCTTTTGGGTTGACAATTTTTTTTTTTTTGGATGAAAGGTTGACAAATTTTTTTTTGCTTCTTTGAAATTCAGATATCGGCCATACTATCACCATTTGCAACACAGTAATGACGCGTTTGCTTTGTGCCTTTGGGAAAGCTAGGGCTATAACAGAAACTGGGCCTTCACAGGTACCCAAGAAGTGTGCGCTCAAGGCTGCAATTAAATCGAATCCTAACTCATTTGATTACTAGGTACCCCTTCGCTATAAATATGAATGAATCAACGAAAGTAGTTTTAGTAACAGATAAAACTTGAGTTTGATTGTAGGCAAACTCGGTTCTATGCATTAAAAGGAATACGGGATCTGACCAGCACCAACCATACAACAACTAAACTTGAAAAGGCTCGCATCTGTTACATGATGAATACTAAGACTACCAGCAATACGAAATTCAATTTTTGTTCAGCTGACTAATCACATCGTGATTTCTATAGAACACTTCCGTTCAAGCAATACCAGACTAAAATGGATACTAAAACATCTAACCCATATAATAGGCAAGAAAAGAGCGGGGGGAAAACTGTCAAAAATTTGACACATAAGTCAAACGGGAGCTTAAGGTAAGAATATATGGAAATGGACCCGTTGTTAACATTCTAACACTAACGGCGGTAACTGTGGACGCAAAAGTTGAAGGGAGGACGAGTTCTTCACCATATAATTACAAGGTTTGCCTCAGTTCCTGTTTCATCCCTTCTTATTCGTGTCTTCAATTCTTCATTCATAATCCTTTTCCTTCATCTTCATTCAAAATTCGATTTCGAAAATCATTGACCATAAGAGGCAGCCCTTCTCTGAGTGAGATTTTTGGCTCCCAGTTTAGCAGTTCCTTTGCTTTGCTGATGTCTGGTTTCCTCATGTGTGGATCATCTGCTGTATTAGGTTTGTACTCAATTGTAGCACTTGAATCGATTGTTTCTTTGACAACCTGCGTGTTGTATTTATGAAGAAATAATAGTTAAAACACACAAACACAAAGAGACCATGGCCAGGACATGTGTCAGGATAAATCTCACATCTTGGTAACCCCCTCGCCCTCCCCGAAAAAGAAAATTATATTCCATAATTTATATGCCATGGATATCCTGATTTGGAAGGATATCCACATAATTTGTCCATTTATTTGGGAAAAAGTGCAAAATATGTACATCAAAATTTGATTTGGATATCTACATAAGGAAAAGGTATGATTAAATATCGTAACAAAGCAAGGAAGAAAATAAGAGAGAAAGAAGATGGGATACCTCAGCCAGCTCTAACATGGTGAACTCCCCAGGATTACCAAGGTTGAAAGGTCCCACATGTTCCCCTTCCATCAAAGCCACCAGCCCTTCAACCTGGGTATCGGAAAGATTAAGTTCATCATGGTGCCAATTTCAATGCTGCACAGGTTCTCAAAGAGTAGGTACTAAAAACCCTTTCACTTGAACTTAACCGATTCAATATATTTCCATCTTGAATTAGAAAATGGAAGCCACCATATTTTCCTACTCACCTTAATTGAATTATACGTGATCAAACATTTCGTTTGATCTTCTAAAAAACCATTTCTCTACAGATGCTTTATGTAATCTCAGTTACTCACAAATGTCTATTAGGGCACGACTGGTTTTGGGAATTGCGACAAAGCAAGTTTCTCAGAAGATCAGGTTATGCATGCTACGAATTTATAATTTTTATGCTTTCCTTTTGTCACAACATAAAATTCACATTTTGTGTTCATCATTTAAAACTGGATTCAGATTCAAAAGATTCTTTCTGTCAGCAAGAAAACTCGTGCTACATTAAAAAGCTTCAATTTCCCAAGCTTCAAAAACCATCGTAGGCAAAAGTGATAGCAGCAGGCACAAACGGATTCCAAAGAGAAGCAAAAGTCTTTTTTTTTTAAAAAAAAAGCACCATACCAGGTCAGAGACATATTGGAAGCTTCGGGTTTGTTTTCCATCACCATAAACTGTCAGAGGTTGTTTGCGAATGGCCTGGAAACATGGGAAATAATTATGGGCACTTAACACCCCATCCATATCTCCTTTTATTTATTTTGTTGACCAAACAAAAAGATAAGGGAGTCAAACCTGTGCAACAAAATTGCTAACTACACGTCCATCATCTAAACACATACGAGGTCCATATGTGTTGAAAATTCGAGCTATACGAACCTACAAACCAGCAAGACAAGGATCAGTCTCTACAGTGAAATTTGTTTTTGACTGACCATAGCAACTAATTAGATTGGATAATTTACTGTGATCAGTTTATAATTCAATCATCTTGGATTAACTATCAATTTTTCTCTGCATGGATAGTTTGCCAACCATCAAACTCTGCATTGAACTAAGATCCCATTTGGGATTGCTGTGCGCGTGTATGGTTTTTTTTTTTCTTATTTTATTTAACACTCTGAAATTTGTCTTGACAGACTATAGCAAATAATTAGATTGGAAAACCTGATCAGTCTCTACAGTGAAATTTGTTTTGACTGACTATAGCAAATAATTAGATTGGATAATTTACTGTGATCAGTTTATAATTCGATCATCGATTAACTATCAATTTTTTTCTGCATGGAGAGTTTGCCAACCATCAAACTCTGCATTGAACTAAGATCCCATTTGGGATTGTTGTGTGTGTGTGTGTGTTCTTCCTTTTTTCTTTTGCTTATTTTATTTAACACTGTTTCGTTTCTTAAAAAGCAATGTAAAAAAGAAACAGTTTAAAAAAATATCCAATATGTAACTATGTTTAGCAGTAGAAGTGCCTTTTGTATTAAGAAAAAATAGAAGTGCTTTTTAGTGTCAAAGTACTAAAAATGGCATGTATGGATTTGAGGAGTAGAGATCGTAGGGAAGGTGTCAGGAGTTAATTAATGATTTTAAGTTAAAGTATTTTTGCCTTCAAAAATATAATTTTCTCCTTCTTTTTCAAAGCAGAAGCTCCACTTTTACGCTTCATTCCTGAGGCAACAAAGGAAACAACAACAAACAACAACAACAACAAGCCTTTATCCCACTAGGTGGGGTCGGCTACATGGATTGCAAGACGCCATTGTGCTCTATCATTTATTAAGCTTTTAGAAATATTATTAATTAAGAGATCACGTTCAACAACTTCCAAGAGTGTTCTCTTAGGCCTTCCTCTACCTCTCTTAATCGGACTCAAAGTTATATGTTCCACTCTTCTCACTGGTGCCTCCCTTGGTCTTCTTTGTACATGCCCAAACCATCTCAACCGATTTTCTACCATTTTTTCCTCAATAGGTGCCACCCTCACTTTTTCACGTATGTGCTCATTTCGAATTTTATCTTTACGTGTATGTCCGCACATCCATCGTAACATTCTCATCTCTGCTACTCCAACTTTATGCTCTTGCTGTCCCGTTAGAGCCCAGCATTCACTACTATATAACATTGCCGGTCTGATAGCAGTACGATAAAACTTTCCTTTAAGTTTATTAGGCACCTTACGGTCACAAATAACTCCTTTAGCTTTTCTCCAATTAAACCACCCAGCTTGAATTCTATGTGAAATATCTCCACTGATTTCGCCATCATTTTGGATAATGGCTCCCAA